AACAAAACCAAACAAAACTACCGCCCCCCAACGAATGGAATGGGTTAGGAATACCCTTTAGTCAACCAGCTTCGAGAGCCTCTACCGCCAAGTTCTCAAGCTACACAAGAAGAGGTAGACCACTCAAAATATGGAGTGAGTCAGTCGAGGAAGTTCTTAGAAATTTGCAAATAACATCTTAATTGAATCAGCTACAGAGTTGGCCTGCTATAGAAATTGCATTTTCTCTCGACGCTCAACGGCAACCGAGGATGAAAAAAATGAGGTACACATAAAGAATAACCCAAACCACCCTTTCTTTTATTTCTATCAAGCACTAACTACATCATGGTGTTAAAAACCAAGCTACTCAAAACCGTGCTTGCTTTGATACTGATACTTAAACGTATCGTTCGACAAACGAGAGCATCTCTCCGATCTTTTTATCAGCCTTTTTTAAGGAGGAGTTGCATTTTGTGTGGACAAAGTGTGGGATTACGTCCAGTTTATTCCCCTGGTGGTATTTGAAAACGTGCCAATCAATACCGCGCTATTCAAAAGCTCCGTGTTTGATCTCTTTCGTTTTGAAAAAAAAAATGGTTGTTTAAAAAAAAAGACTTTAATTTTACACCATCCCGCCTATCCGTTAAGGACTTTTGTTTGTAGTGGGAAAGCTTTATTCTTCAGAAGAAAGACCGTTTGTTTGGACATGTAGTTCTGTGGGTGACAGTTGGACAACGATTGTGTACGTGCTTTTTGTATTTGTATTTCTATTGGTGTCGCACTGGACGGGGAAAGCATTTTTTTCTATTATCACAAAAGGCGGATATCGTGGGCAAACCGTTAAAATATACTACGCCTAGAGAGAAAGAATGTACAGGACACAGGAAAAATAACTGTTTCGTTCTTTTAACAATCGTAGCTACCTTGAGTCTACATTATATTTTTTTGTCGTTGCTTTTTTCAACATTTAGAATTTGAATTTCGACAAAATATTTCTTGAGCACATGCAACCGATACCACTGATAAAGAAGCTGCTATAACATTTTCTTGTTCAAATTTCTAGGGTAGAGACATGTTAACAATTAGTCGAAGATATATTATAATAGTCTTTTCACATTTCTCTTTCTTTACCAGTGATGCTATCTTTATGAGTGTCCGTTCTGTTTCTCTCTCTCTCTCTCTCTCT